TCGACCTCCCAGAGTGCTAGGATTACAGGCGTGAGCCACCGCGCCCGGCCTCATTTTGTCATTTTTTAAAACTGACTTTTTAAGGATATTAACCCCACGTCTGTAATACATGTTGTAAAATATTTTACAACTAAATTTTTTATTAAAAAAATAGAAACAGAGAGTTTAACATTATATTCTCTGTCAAGAATGTAGAATACCAAATTCACCCTAAGAGCATACCATGTGCTTTGATGACCAAGGAGAGAATGGCTGACATCCTTGAAAAATTAAGAACATTAACATAAACACTTTGGTCAAATAACGGCACCCTATCTCTAGGCAAAGGTGGGATGAAGATGTGCCTGCAGGTAAAATCAAGATTTTTCTTAGGAACTAGCTGTAAGTCTACTCCAGTTGAGATAAATATGAAAAAATGCTCACAAAATTCCCTACTATAGAGCAGTTTCCTGAACTGTGATAAACTGAGAAAATAAAAGTGTGTGTCTGTCTGTCTGTTTCAGAGGTTGAGGAGGGTAACAATTATACTGTTTTGGGATGGTCTATCAGTTATTCTGAGATTCTATCCTTACTTTTTTGGTGTTAATAATATGTACCATCTTTTATGAAGTCGCGGTAGGAATCAGTAGCAATTGTTTGGTTCTGATACTTAACAAAATAAAAACTCTAGTTTTTTTTTTTTTTTTTTTTTGGACATTTAAGTATTCCTTGAAATCTAAAAGCCATGCCATAATGCACAAGTAAAAGAAGATATAAAAACCCTATTCACTTAAGAAGACCATGTTTTTACAGAGGAAAAAAACCAAACACGCCAATTATAGTTATTCATTTGTCCAGAAACTTTGGAATTAAAAGAACTGAACTTGGTATTTAATGTGTGGCCAGATATACATTTGAAAACCCCTGTAAAGAAAACAAAAGCTGTAAAAAATAAAACAAATATTAACATTAACAATCTTTGGGTATGGAAATACATGGGAAGTTTATTTTTTCCTCTCTCCACTTTTAGTGTATTTTCAGGATTTTCTATATAACTATTTTAATATGACTACATTTTAACTGTTATTTTAAACAATATTTCTTTCTGAAACAAAACAGAGAGTTCCTGACAACCCATCTCACCTCTGAACTGTTCTTTGTGAAGGCACTGGTAGAACAATCTTTTCTTCTGTCCCTAACTACTTCTATCTTCCTATTAGTAGAAGTCACTCACTATAAAGAAATTCTCAATTTGGGCATCGTCCCTCCAATGCCTATCCAAAGAAGCACAGTCTCCCAGGAATTATGTGTTAAACAAAATTGTAATCCCCAATTCTGAAGAATTCTGATCCACATACCAAGGATAGTGTGCCTTTTCCTTTTCCCAGTTTCCAGTATCTTCAGTACAGAACACTACTATAAGGGCATCAAATCACCTCAACTTTCCAAACTCTGATTTTCCTACTGTCTTTGGCAAAATTGCTAACATTATCTCTGTTATCACTCTCAGAATCTAAATACAAAAAGCATCAATCGAAGCGTAAAATCAATTTATAAATAGGTATTTTTTAAAATGACTGCATTGTAATAATTAATTTGTTACAGAGCATAAGATATGCTGATAGTGCTCTATCAGCTCAATTCACACAATGGTAGTAAAAAGATCACATTTTATTAGTAACCCATGAGTTGTTTAATGATTCATGTTTTAGTAGGTGACAGTTATGGAAATGTTAAGTTTTACATGTCAAGAATGTAAGCTTCATGAAGAAAATAATTATTTTTCTATCTTGTTCACTGCTGTATTCCCAGATCCTAGAGCAATACCTAGCATTTATTTGGTAGGTATTTAATAAATATTCATGGAATTAACAAATGAGTATTATACGTGCTAATATATGTTTTTTCCCCATTACTATAATCTTTGGAAACACATTCTAAACTGTGGAAATGCCATCAGCCCAGAAGAGATCAGGCCGGAAACATTCTAGTAAATGGTCTTCTACTACATTTAGCATCAAATCTTTCACTCAGTCTTCATGCCACCAGAAACACATTCAGTTGGGCAGTTAGTCATTCAGCATCTCAGACCACTGGTCTAATAACTACAAGAGAGTATACGTGTCTATCTTTAACAACTCTTAGTGTCCAGCTGAGCAGAATGTATAAAATGGCTTAATTGTTACTTCTTGGATTGTTATGTACATAAGATTATTAAATATGAAAGTAAAGGTTCCAATCAGATCTGGTCAGTCTGACCCATATTTCTAGGGAACTTTCAATACAGTAAAAATTCTCACACTCATGAATGGCCCAAATTACAAGTGTTCACTTTTTACTGTTTGTCACCATGCACGACACAAAAGTATGGTTTTTACCAGAATGGTCTCACAAACAATGGCTAGGTGGGTTTGATAAAAATCCAGGGACCAATCTGACACAACAGTCCTGTAAAGATAAAATCTAGTTGGGGAGGGCAGCTCACAGAGATTGAAAGTTTCTTTGATCAACAGGAAAATCATTTAATTCTTGTCTCAAATGAAAAATAAAAAACACGATGAATGGTGCTTGAGCTTATTTTTATAGGCCTTTTGAACATTCGTCTGCCTCAAGATAATGAGTCCACAATACAGTGGTGAAAGTTCTTTGAACACAGAAGTGGCTACAGAATAACTGTCAAAAAATAAAAACAAAGTGAAACTTCTTCATAATGTTTTCCAGGGAATAACATTTCTAAAATATTTGTTCAAAGCAACAAAATATGAAATATGGCTTTATAGATCTTACAAAGAACTTTTCAATACAATGCCACTTAAATATAGGGTAAATAGGAAAAATACCATAATGAAGTTTAACTGCATTTCAGTTTCAAAAACTGGGAAAAAATCCATTATACTTACTTTGTAAATAGTGCAAAACCATCAATACAAGACTATAGCTGTTTAAAGTACCACGACTGGCATCATTTATCTGATGGTGACTTGCCCACTTCTTAATCACCAGCACTAATGGACGAACTCGATTTTCAACTGAAAGTAAAATTAAAACTTAAAAATGATAAGAAGATATTACAGTTTCTTTATAGAAGTTTATATCATTTCCCAACTCCATGCCAAAAAAAGGGCATTGCCTCCCTGTGTATTAAACACTGTGTTCACCATAAATGTGTCTTACTTCTAAAACGTACCTTAGTTTCCTTTTAAAAATTATCAACTATTAAAATGCACTTCATTTACCTATAACTGTAGTATTATATGATTTTAGTGTAGCAACATATGCAAATAATAAGACAGATTATACTGAAACACAACAAGATGTCACTATTTACTACAAACATCTTTAAAAAGGAATAAAGAATGAAGAAAAAACAGAAGCTGATAATTAATTAGAAACAAACCAAAAACTTACGGTATGCGTAAGTTCTGAGAAGGAATGTGTTTCTTATTCCAACAATATTGTTTACATTCAAGTCAAACTCCACACAACTGTTAAAAAAAAAAAAAAACAAGCACTTTAGCTCAAGTACAAATAAACTCCCTCCTTGATCACTAAATTAATATCCATCTATCCAATGATGCAAAATAGCATGGGCCAAAAGGCCACAGATCTGTTTTTAAAATGAGGCACTCAGAAATAACAATCAATGCATACTGAGTATATCATTTTAATGTGATTTAGTATGTATTAAAAACATAAAATAGGATTACTGTTGAAAGATCAGTAACAGGGTGGCAAGGTTCCAACTACCCCTACTACATCTTATAATCCCTTTCAGATAAAATTATGTGACCAAAAACACTTCTGAGCAACTTAGTAAATTATATATTCTCAAATAATTTGGAACTATAGCATCATATACTTTAAAACAATAGGAATAAAGAGCCAAACAAAATGCAAGGGAAAAAATAAAAAGCTCCATATACACAATATATTCCCTCTAAAAAGGCTGGAAAATTATAATATGTCAAATTTACCTACTGGTATCTGGAAAGAGCTATGATACTCAAACACATAACAGAAGAGATATTTCTTTGAAAGCAAAAATATGCAATTCACAACTTAGGAAACAGGAAGAATGGCTAAACCTATAAACAAAAGGAAGGATTATTTTATATGTCAGTTCCACTTATACCAATATAATACGAGGTCCAACTTCTGAACACTAAATTTTTCTATGAAAAGACTGCCTAAAATGGAAACTTAACAAATGTTTATTTTTATTACCTAAAAACTAGAAACAAACCAAATATTTAAACATAGGGAAACAGTTAATAATTTATTCACTCAATGAAATACTATAAAGCCATTTAAAAAACTCCACAGAATATTTAATAATATAAGCAAGTGTTTATGAGATATGGTTGGGTGAAAATATATGATCTCAATTTTACTTTTAAAAACTCTTATGCATTCATAAGCACAAAAAAGAGACTGAAAAGTTTATAGCAAAATGTTTTGTTTTGTTTTTCCAAAATCCAAAACTTGCAGTGTTGACATATACCAAAATGTTAACCTCAGTTATGTCTGGGTGTTAGGAGTAGAAGTTTTACTTTATTTTTTTGTTTTGTTTTGTTTTGTTTTGTTTTGTTTTGAGACAGGGTCTCGCTCTGTTGCTCAGGCTGAAGTGAAGTGCGGTGGCCTCATTACAGCTCACTGCAGCCTCGAACTCCTGGGCTCAAGCAATCCTCCTGCCTCAGCCTCCAGAGTAGCTGGAGTGCATAGAGTACAGGCATGCATGCTCAGCTAATTTTTCAGTTTTTTTGTAGAGATGAGGTCTCACTCTTGCTCAGACTGGTCTCAGACTATTGGCCTCAAGCAATCCTCCCACCTCAGCCTCCCAGTGTTAGGATTATAGGCATGAGCCACCGTATTAAGCCAGTTTTTTTTTTTTTTATGGTTTGTATGGAGAATTATGAAATGGTGCTTATAAAGAGTGCTTAACAACAAAAAATGTTTGTATAATAATCTTAAATGGAAAAATAAAACTGTTTATGTAACTATGACTACAGCCATACAATAAAAACAATTATAATTAGCTAATATTATAATAACTTTATTTTATGTTTTATCTCCCTATATTTTCATATCTGTGTTTTAGGAAACTCTTAACCTATCTACTTGGCAGAAATTCAATAAATATTTATAGATTTGATGGATGTTTAGATGAAGGAAAAGAAAGGCTTCAGCCAGGCATTAAAGTTTGTTTAAAATATGTATATTCAGTCAATTCTCATTATTCACAGTAGTTACGTTCTATGAAGTCACTGCAAACATTGAATTAGTGAGTACTCTACCATTGCTTCTAGGGCAAACACAGCATCAAGTTTCTGCCAGCCTGGTCACAATATTTTCATAAACTGATCAATACATAACCTTGTTTAATGTTGTGTCTCTGGTTAAAGACATTTTATTTAATATATACAGTTGATTCATTAACAGTGAACTCATGGCCAAGAGCACTGTAACTCATGCCTGAAAAAGCCTATCTAATTTTCTCCACAGGGCACACCACAGCCTTCTTGCACTGGGGGACACTAGACAATACCTCAGCACTATGTTTGGGGACCATTCTAAGCAGCAAAAGAACATAGAATGTGAAAAATATGGCAATAACTAGACTGTGAGAGGGACATTTGTTTGCAGTTAAGAAGCTGAAACAAGAAGGTAGAGTATCATCTCATCCTATCTCAGCTGGGAACATGGTACTGGGCAATTCAAAATTTTTGCCCCTCTGTTATATCCAAGAACAATCACTAAAGCATATGACTATTGACATGGGGAAGCTACAAAAAAATTTTAGCAAGTAAGCGAATTTGTAAATATGGAATCCATGAATAATAAGGATCAACTGTGTGTGTTTATATGTATAATTTCAGTATTACTTTTGTAAAAGTAAACTAGACAAACCTGATTTATCACAATCCCATTTTTAGAAAATAATTACAAATCTTTTTTAATTAATAAAATAATCAACACCTATTTACATTTTATAGTCAGATATTATATGAAAGATCCTAATACCAGTGCCCATAAGAAATTCAGAACCAAAACTGGTAGAATATATAGATGGATATAAGTTTTGACCGAAACAACTGTAAGTATATCTTCCTGTGTTTCTTTTATATTTATTACTCTAGGTATTACATGTATCTTTCATTAAAATGAAACATAATTTGTTTAATCATAATTATATTTACAACAGACCTTAAGCTATATTCTTTAGAATGCATTACATTTCCAAAAGGCAAGAAATCATTTAAAAATCTAAAATACAAATATGTAAAAATTCTTTAAATTGAATAGTCTTAAATACTCAAAATGTCAAGCAGAATAACTAAGTACAGTTAAGCATGAGAAAGAATTGTTCTATTTTTAAAAATCATTTCAAATACTAAGTCAAGTGATTTCTAAAAACTGAAGATAAGCTGTTTGCTATAACATACATTTCTTGATTATCTACATCAGATGAATATCTAAATATGATCTAAAACCAACTGAATAAAGATAGTTAAATAATTACTTACCTGACTTTATCCCTGAACTTCACAATTGGCACTTTTGCTCGAATCAGCTGAGGTCTCTCAATGTAGCCAGCTGAAAGATAAAAGATCATGTCAATGTATGCAAATGTTTCCCAAATTCATAGTGTCCCAATGCACATTTCTTAAAAATAGTATTTTACTAAGCTAAAACAATTTAAGAAAATGTTGTCTTTAACAAAGCAAGAAAATAAGTGAGGACATTATTGAATTCTTCTAAGACTAGAGGGTCCAGTAATACCTTACCCTATCATTTGGAGGCTTTATATTAAGGTTATTTTCAGAAATGTGGCCTAATATCTAATAGTATCTACAAAGAAGTTTATCAGAGCATTATGAGGGCAAAAAAATATGTAGGCCAGCGGCAGAGGAATAGCTAAATTTCTCGGATAGCACAGAATAAGATATTACAAAGAGTCTTAAATGTAGAAATGCTTTGCAACATGATATATGGACCAGGACACATTCACTTAAGTATATGATCTCTACAAGGGAAAATTACATATATACATATTTTTTTATTCCATCAAACTTTTCAAAAAATTTTTTGAGTTGAGATTAATAATGTTCATTGTACAAAATTAGGAAAATACAGAAATGTATAATACAGAAATCACAAAATGAGTCATTTTTTAAATTTGTAAGTACAGAAAATTTTTTTAAAAACCTGAAAATTATGTTATAATGTTTTCAATATCAAAATTATAAAATACATCAAGCTTTAAAATAAAATTTATGTGCAGGAATTCAGTGAGGTTTAAAGAAAAATAAGATTACAGTTAAAAGTTTTGAATAACAAGTACAGGTTCTGACATCAACAAACTATGCTCCAGGCATGTTACCGAACCCACTGATCATAGTCTCTTCAACTATTAAAAACAATAACCAAAAGGGGAAAAAAAATTCTTCATTTCAATTAGATGATCTCTGAGGTCTCTTCCATTTTTAGTATTTTATGATTCTAATAGTAGCTATTAAAAATCCACTTAAGGTATGAATTACTCTTTTATTTTACAGAGGCGAAATTTTAAGTTGGCTAAAATAAATCATTTGATTTATTTCTCCCCTACAATAGATATAAGTTGTTCAAGGGCAGCAACTGGTTACTTGACTTTGTATTTTCCAGCTCAAAGCTTGGTGCATAATAAGTATTTGTTAAACAAATGAACAAATGTCTTTCCAATATCACACAGTTAGTGTGGCTTCAAATTTCTACAACATTCTGCGAAAGTTTAAAAGAAATTATTTGAGATGGCTTAATATACGGATTAAAATCTGTTTAGAGTCAGCTTATTCAAAGGGTAAATCCTTACAATAAAATGGCCTAAGTCAACAATTTTTCTTTTTTTATAGTTAATGTATTTGGGCCTCCTGTTCAGTGATCACATTTTTAAAACAAGATGCATTTCATAGCAAACAGATTCATTTCTCTCTCCCTCATATAAAGTCCTTTAGGAGATTGTATGTATCACTCTTTTGGCTTTTCACAGATACTTTGCATTACATCTATTTATATTCATGCCTTAATTTCCCTAACAGTCTATAACCTTTTGAGAGAAAGAACTAAAACTTACACAGTTTTGAATCCCCCAATGCATTGAGTGGGATATTTTGCAAATAAGCTCAGTAAAGACTTGTTAAATAAATGGTCAGTCTTCCTTTTAATCAAAAGTTAAAAGGAATCCATTTGGAAAAAAGGATCCACATTATACCTGTCCTGACCAGAATAAACAATTCTTACCAGAAAATAAAGTGAGAGACATTTTAAATAAATAGTTATGTCATGTGACATATGAACTTGAGGCATGTCAGACTTACAAAGTCTAGTACAGAAGTGTTTATGGACTAAGGTGAGTATATGCCGTGCTTCAGTCTTCTGATTTACCTGAAAAAAATACTGAAAAGTTAAAAATAAAGTGTTTTTCATTATCTTTCTAAGCTTAGTGTTTCATTTTCTTAAAGTATCTCAACAAAAAGAAAACATACAGGGCATAATTTTTTGGCGTTATTTTTCAATATACATTAAATTACATTATAGAAAAGGTCAACCTTTAATGCTGTCTTTCAAATCTACTTTTCTAAATCAATTCCTGATTTTAAATTTAAAATATAATTTTTTAAGAAATTCTGAAACAGTATATATGTCATTTTTTCCTTCAGTATAAAGAGCAATCTTCTTCCAACAAAAATGAAAAGAATTTAAATTTTCTGTAACATGTTTTATTTCCGTAATCTAAATTGTAAGCTGCTTAAGGACAGGTTTATATCCATGGTGTTTCAATTTGAGTATAAGCTGTGACAACAATTTAGACATGTGAATAAAATTGGAGGACTAGGGGAATGCACCTGAGTGTAATCCAATTGCATGAGAAAGTACTAATCAAAACTCTTGTCTATTTTATCTGAGGATGGGGGAGGAGAGTGTAGAATGTGTTCTCTACCCTGTCTATAATTTTAGAGTTTTTTAAAGCCTTTCTTTTACATGAATTCAAAGCCTAGAAAAATAGCAGTTTCTTTCCTGGAATAAATCTTGCTCTGATCTGCAGTAACTAGATGTTATTTTTGTTAGTGGAATAATATGAACAGTAAAAATATATACTACCATTCAATTGACTTTTTTGTATTTTTGAAGATGTGAAACATAATAAGGCACATTAAAATTATACTCAATCTAATCTTTGGTAGTTCAGAAGACACCTCAGTATCTTATAGAGGCTGCTTCAGTCAGCATAATAAACACCAATTATTGTGGTATTAAGGTATATACAAGGGCATCCGTTAACAGGAAATTAAAAAAAACACAATACAAATTGAGCATCCCTAATCCAACAATCTGAAATGCTCCAAAATCCAAAATCTGAAACTTTTTTTTTTTTGAGACAGAGTTTTGCTCTGTTGCCTGGGCTAGAGTGCCGTGACATCAGCCTAGCTCACAGCAACCTCAAACTCCTGGGCTCAAGCAATCCTTCTGCCTTAGCCTCCCAAGTAGCTGGCACTACAGGCATGTGCCACCATGCCCGGCTAATTTTTTCTATATATTTTTAGTTGTCCAGCTAATTTCTTTCTATTTTTAATAGAGGCGGGGTCTCACTCTTGTTCAGGCTGGTTTCAAACTCCTGACCTCAAGGGATCCTCCCACCTCGGCCTCCCAGAGTGCTAGGATTACAGGCGTGAGCCACCATGCCTGGCCAATCTGAAACTTTTTGAGTGCTGACATGATGCTCAAAGAAAATGCTTGCTGGAGCATTTCAAATTTCAGTTAGGGATGCTCAACCAGTAAGTATAATGCAAGCAAATACTTCAAAATCCAAAATCCAAAACACTTTTGGTCCCATGCATTTCAGATAAGGGATATTTAACCTGTACTAAACACAATTTGGTTGCTTAAAAAAAAGAAAACAATAAAGTCAAAATATCAGAGAAAAATATATTTAATAAGTCACAATAGTCTTATTTTAAATTTCAGTGAAATCTTTTTGTTTTCCCCAAAATAAGACTCTCAAACCCAAGTATATGATCTCTACAAGGGAAAATTACATATA